TGTGATGGGTGCAGGCAGCCTGGGGAGCACAGGGTGGTCACTGCACCCCAGGGGTGCTTCAGGGGTGGCTGAGAACAACCTTCCCCTCCTCACTGAGGGGGCTCAGAGCAGAGACAGCCTTTAAGCTTGTGCCAGGGCCATTGCCAGGCTGGAGGACTTCCCTAATTATTGGATCACGGAATCATTAAGGCTGGAAAAGCCCTCTGAGATCATCGAGTCCAACCATTCCCCCGGCACTGCCAAGCCCACCACTGACCCATGTCCCCAAGTGCCACATCCACACAACTGTTAAACCCCTCCAGGGATGGGGTCGATGGCCCTCAGCCCCTCTTCAGCCCCTCAAGTGCCCAGGGCTGGTTTGGCCCCTCTCTGCAGGCAGGGCTGTGTCACTGGGGGGGGGGGTTGGAGCCCCACAGGAGGTGTGAGGTCCCAAGGCAGGGGTGACTTTCCAGCTGCCAGTAAACCCCGTGGGCACACACAGATGTTTACTGGCCTCTCGATTTGTGCAGAGCTGTAAAACCACTTCCCATGAGTGGGGCTGGTTGGAGGTTGGGGCTGGTTGGAGGTTGGGGAGCTCTGCAGCATCTCTCTGAAGTACAGGGCCTGGCCCTGTGCTGTGGAGGGTTTGGCCACCCCAGATGGGTTTGTGGCCTTCAAAGGGGCCATTGTCTGGCTGCCCTGGTCAGCACGGGCTGTGCCTGGCACCCACATCCCCTGGGGGAGAGGGGAGGGCTCAGGGAGCTCTGGCAGCACTTGCCAGTGGGCCACAGCCCCTCAGCCCCTCCTGCGCCCCTCCACAGCCCCTGAGCCCCTCCTGCACCCCTCCAGAGCCCCACAGCCCTTCCTGCACCCCTCCAGAGCCCCACAGCTTCTCCTGCATCCCCCCACAGCTTCCCTATCCCTCCACAACCCCAGAGCCTCTCCTGCATCCCTCTATGGCCCCACAGCTTCCTCATGTGGGCTCCTAAATCCCTCCACAGCCCCACAGCCCCTCCTGCCTCCCTCCACAGCCCCTCAGCCTCCCCATGTGGGCTCCTGCATCCCCTGGGGACCGTGCAGGGAGGTGGTGTTGGGGTTGGTTTATGAGTGGCAGTGGAGGGACTTGGCTTGGTCAGGGATCACTTCTCCCCAGGCTGTGAGCAGAGGGACAGTGCTGTGACCCTCAGAGCACCTCATCTCTGCCCTGGGTGAAACCACCAGCATGTCCCAAATGGAGCACCCCACAACCCAGAGTGTCCACCTGTGGCCTTATGGGCACCTCCACCCCCCAGAGCTCCCATCTGCTCGTGGACTTATGGGCAAGAGGAGCAAATGGCTGTGGGAAGTGTCAGGGGTGAATTCATATTCTTTCTGTGCTCCAAGACCCTTCAGTGCCAGGGCTGGGAGGGTGAACTGTATCCCAGGGGAAGGCAGACAAAGGCCCCCTCAACCTGGGGATAGCCCTCACCATCACCCACCCAAGTGCCCTGCATCCCCCTGCCCTGGGGGTATGGGCTTTGTGGCTCTTGGCGAGGGCAGGATTTCAGGGGGACCTGAAGGAGTCCCAAAAGCCTCTGGGTTAATCCTTGTCACCATTTATACCCCAGAGGGTGACAGCACAGCACCCCCACAACGTCCTTCCCTACAGTCTCCCTCTCTGAATAATTTCAGCTTTTCACTTCTCCCCTGCCTGCACCAAAACAAACCTCGCAGCCCAGCCTGGGTGGGGCTGAAGTGGTAAAAGAATGGCTTGTTTCCAGGAATAATAAAGGAAGCTTGAGAGGGGTCAGCTCAGAAAGCTTGAGCTGCAATAGCAGAGAGCTCTGGGATTTGCCAGAGAAGTGAAAACCAGCGCACGGAAGCAGCAAACTGAAACCAAAAAGTGGCTTTGGAGGTCAGCGAGGGCAAAGTGCTCAGGGCCATCCCGGGCTGGATCAAAGCTGGAGCCCTGGGGCTGGGGGAGGAGGAGCCCCCCCCTTCCAGGAGGCTTCTCAGCGCTCAGGGGGAAACAACATCGCAGTGACAAAGGGCAGCTCTGTGGGCACAAACTGCTCCGTGCCACCACACAGCCAAGGGGTGCAGCTGCAGCAGCTCTTTGCAGCCTCCTCCTCCTCCTCCTGCTCCAGCTCCACCACATTCAGCAGCCAGGGATGGTTTTTTCCCTCTCACTGACCATCCCAGTGCTTCCAGGTGGAGGACAGAGCTGCAGGTCACATCACCCCTGCCTGCCCTGGTGCTCTAAGTGCACCATCAGCCCCGTGGTTTGTGCCTCGCAGGGGAGCAGAAGGTGTGAAGTTCCCATGATCAAAGCTGTCCCTGGCTGGTGGCAGCCACAGCTGTGTCTCTGTGCAGCCACAGCCTGTGTCACCTTGTCACCGGTCGCTGCAGTGCTGGTGTTTGTCACTTCCCCGAGCACACACTGACACGAGAGTTGCGAGCACAGAGGAACAGAAAACTCCCACTCTTGGTTTCTGCATGATTTATTTCCATGGCAAAAAGCCATAATTTGGTTTCGTTCTGTAATTCAGCCAAAAGCTGGAGCTGCTTCTTGTTCTGCCCAGAGCTGCTCAGACTTACCCAGGAATGAAGAGCTGGTCCTGCCAGGGCTTGTTGTGAATCTGGAAAAATCCAACACCTTCCCTGATATCCATGTCAGGACTTACTTGTCAGCCCTTGTCCCCACTAGAAGCACACACTTGGCCACTCTGCTGAGGTCTCTGCCCAGTTGAGGTTGAGCCTGCAGCCTTCCACAGGGATGTAAGACCATGAGAGGAAGGAGGAATGCAAAAGAGGTCCCCCCTGTGGGATAAGTGTGGGAAGGAACAGATCATCACCAGTCTCAGAGGCCTTGAACCTTCTCCTTTCAGTCCCTGCTGGGGACGAGCCAGTTGGTGAAGGTTGGTGTCTCCACTGATCCCATGTGCAGCCCCAGGGTAGCTGAGCATGGAGTTTGGGCTTCTCGGGGTGAAAATCCAGGCTCAGGAGCCCAACCACAGGCCTGAGAATCCCCCCTGCAGTGGAGGGTCTTTGACTGCACCCCCAGAATGTGGCAGAACAGCAGGAAGCCCAGCTCACCCCCTCCCTGCTCCCCAGGCAGGAGCTGCCCCGAGTTGAGACTTGAAAGTCTCTCCCATGACAGGGGGGTTCTCCAGCACTTGCTTCTCACCTCTTTAGCCAGAAATCCATCTTCAACTCAAGGCATCCTTTGCACAGAGAGGTTCAGGCTGGCAAAGTGTCTCAGGTTTGGCAAATCCCTTCTTCCAGTGAACTCCCTGCTCCCAGGTGAGATCCTGCCCTTTGGGATGCCTGTGACTGTCGAGAGCAAACTGGTGAAGTTTGGGTTAGATAAACAGCAGTGAGAGAGGCTGGGAATGGACTGGAGGGTTGTGACCTGTGGCACAAAGTCCAGCTGGAGACCAGGCAGCAGCAGGGAACCCCAGGGATCGATACTGGGTATTCTTTTATATCCTTATGACCTGAATGATGGGACAAAGTGCACCCTAAGCCAGCTGTCAGGGGACACAACACTGGGAGGAGGGGCTGGCACACTGCAGGGACAGGCTGCCTTCACAGAATCATGGAATGTTTTGGGTTCAAGGAGATCTTAAAGCCCATCCCGTTTCACCCCCTGTCATGGCAGGGATACCTCCCACTATCCCAGGTTGCTCCAAGCCCCGTCCAACCTGGCCTTGGACACTTCCAGGGATGGGGCAGCCACAGCTTCTCTGAGCAACCTGTTCTAGGGCCTCACCACCCTCACAGGGAACAATTCCTTCCTAATATTTAACCTAAATCTTTCCTTTTTTAGTTTAAAGCCATTCCCCCTTGTCCTGTCCCTGTTGGCTCATGTGAAATCCACAGAAACCTCGTCAAGCTGGAGAAATGGGCTGACAAAAACCTCATGAAGTTCAACAGGAGAAGTGCAGAGTCCTGTCCCTGGGGAGGAACACCCTTAGGCACCCCCAGGATATGCCAGTGCCAACCAGCCGGAAAGCAAAAGGCCCCAGGGCTCTTGGTGGACCCCAGGCCTGGACATCAGCAGCAAAATGCCCTTGGCACCCGAAGTCAACAGGTTCCTGGGATGCCTGAGGAGGACCATTGCCAGCAGATCAAGGGAGGTGACCCTTCCTCTCTGCTCAGCACTGCTGAGGCCTCTCCTGGAGTGCTGGGTCCAGTTCTGGGCTCCCCAGTACGTGGATGTACTGGAAAGAGTCCAACAAAAGGCCATGGAGATGATGAAGGGGCAGGAACATCTCTGCAAGGAGAAAATGCTGACAGAGCTGGGACAGTTCAGCCTGGAGAAGAGAAGGCTTAGGGAGATCTTACCAATGTGTGGGGGGGGTAAAGTAGATGGACCCCAACACTTCTCAGTGGCCACTGACAGGACAAGAGGGAGCAAGAAATTCCATTTAAACACCAGATAAAATTTTGTTGAACACCAAAACAGGCTGCCCAGAGAGGCTGTGGAGTCTCACAGCCCACCTGGACATGGTCCTGGACAGCCACTGAGCAGGGACTGGGCCAGGTCCAGTGAATTCCAGGGTGAATTCCAGGGGTGTCTCCAGCCTCAGCTCCCCTCTGGCCCGTGTTAATCCAAGCACTGTTGGTCTGGGGGGGGGGCAGGCGGAGCGTTTTGGGAAGCACAGATCCCTCAGTCCAGCCACCACTGAGCTCCACAGGCAGCCTCTGATAAGCACCCGCCGCATAACGGCACGAGAGCTGCCTCCCGGTTTGGTTCTTTTCCAGAGTTGCATAATCTTATGCAAACATTGAGCCTTTCCCTATAGAGCCTCGCAGGGAAAACCCCTTCCTGCAGTCCAGAGAACCCGTTCTCCTCTTTGTGGCCGGGCCACCTGGCACAGTTAGTTTCCTTTTGATTTGAATAACTCCAGAACGAGCGCTGAGTCAGAGCTCACATACTTGGCTCCACTATATCCCATTATTCCTGGCTTTCTTTTCATTCCCTCTAATTCCCTTCAGCTATTTCACTTTCATGTCATCCTTTATCATCATCCTGGACTTTCCATTTCGAGTTCTCCAAGCTCCCTTTAAAAGGGAGCAGATTCCAGCTGCTTCAGACGGAGCTGCATCTTCCCGAGTTTCGGGTCCTGCTCTGACATTCCTCACCCGACGGAAAGATGAAGGTCTTTGCAGCTGTTCTGGCTCTTTTCCTCCTTGCAGCCTCCTTCTCCCAAACTTTCTCTGGTCCAGGTGAGTCCTGCTTTTTCATTTGTGAAGGAAGAACAGATCTGAGCCTTTGCTGTTATTTCTCCTTTGGGCTTCCCTGGCAGATAACTGGGAATTTATCAGCATTGGTGCCACTCTCTGCTCTGCTCAGAGATCAGCTGCTTGTAGGAACCCTGGGATTAAAAAATCCATCCATCCATCCATCCATCCATCCATCCATCCATCCATCCACCCACCAGCACTCTGAGAAATCCCAGAAGGATTTGGGTTGGAAGGGACCTTAAAGATCGTCTTTTTCCACCCCCTACCGTGGGCAGGGCCACCTACCACTATCCCAGCTTGCTCCAAGCTCCATCCAACCTGGCCTTGGACACTCCCAGGGATGGGGCAGCCACAGCTTCTCTGGACAGCCTGTGCCAGGGCCTCACCACCCTCCCAGGGAATAATGTTTTCCTTGAATCCAACCTAAACTGACCGCATTTAGTTTAAAACTACCCCCCCTTGTCCTCCAGCAACTAAAAAGTTTGTCCCTATCTTTCTTACAGACCCATCCTCCATTTATCCATCCATCCATTTATCCATCATCCATCCATCTGTCCATCAACCCTGGGTTCAGAGTACTTATTCCTGGTTAGAATTGAGGGATTTCAGCCTCTGCCCTGGGACTGGGGGAGGTGGGGAAGCAAAGCTCTGAGCAGTGGCAGGGTGGGAATCTCCCGTGGTACCTGATACCACTCCTGGCATTGGCCCAGGTGATCCCCAACATCCATTAACTTGAATTATTCTCTAATTCCCCTCTCCCTTCCCCACCAGCACGGTTCCCAGTGCTCACATTGTTTGTCTCTTTGCCTCTTCCAGTTGGACCTGACCTCCCCATCTGCTGTTTCAAGTTCACCCGTCACGAGCTGCCCCGGGACCGAATCCTGCGTCACTACAGCACCAGCACCACCTGCCCCCGGCCAGGCATTGTGTGAGTGACCCCGGGCTGGCACAGGGCAGGGACAGGGCAGGGACAGCCACCCCGGGGGTGACCAGCCCTGCAGGGTGGCTGTGGGCACGGTGGGGGTCTGCAGGAACAGAGCAGGGAGAGGTGAACCCCAGGGGAAAGGGGCTGGCACAGGGACTGCCGGGGATGCTCCTTAAAATCTGGGTTATGTGGATTTTAGTATAACTCTTTTAGCACTTTAGCTAAGTGCCTGTGCATTAGGCTCCTGAAATGGTGTTTCGTATTTCTTGTCAAGGATCCCGATGGACGAAGGTTGTAGCAAGGCAGAGAACATTTCATCTGTATAAAATGTTCTTAGAACAGGACACGGCAGGCACATCGCTTGACTGAAGAGAGTCAAAACTATCCAAGAGTGCCCAAAATCCCTGAAAATGGTCAAGGCAGGACAGAGAGAACTGATGAAGACTTTCATGGGTGTCTTGGGATCACCAGCTCAAATCTGGGAGGTGTGCCCGTGGAGCATGGACAGTTTTTGGGCTGAGTGTATCCCCATGAGGGATATTAGTTAGATATTCTAATTAGATGATGCGATAAGTTTGTAAAACCTGTGTGTGTGGGTGTGCATAGGCCATCTTTGTGCACCTAAAATGTCTCATTAAAGAGGTTTTTTTTTAAACCTTTCTATACTATCATTGTTCAGAAAAGGATTTCTGCAATTTTAGGCAACAGGGACACCCAGGGATGTTCCCACAGGAGTCGAGGAGGCAGCGAGGGAAAAGGGGTGGGAGGGGGGGAGAATCACAGCCAGCCACTGCTTTCATCATCAGCTTGGGGCAGGGGGGAAAACCTCTTGCAATGCCCCGAATCTGGGATCCAGGCTGTCCTGGGAAGCAGGTGGGACCTGAGGCCTGATGTGTCCCATCCTGTTCCACAGGTTCATCACAAGGAGAGGCCGCCAGGTCTGTGCCAATCCCGGTGACAGCTGGGTCCAGAGGTACCTGCAGAGCGTGGAGCAGAACTGAGCCAGGCAAGATGGCAAGTGGAGCTGCTGTCCTGCACAAATCACCTCATCCTGAGCCCCGACCATGGAGCAGGGACAATGGGAGCTGCAGGAGCCCACAGCATCTGCAGGTGTCTCCAAGGGACTGCTGGAAGGACTCCCCAGGACACCTCGTGTTGTTGGGGTTGCTGCTGCTCACCCTGAGCTTCCACAAACTGGGCTGTGACCTCATCCCTCTGCCCTGACCCTCCACTGGTGGCCTGGCAAGGCCCAGGGGGCTGCACCTTTGTTATGTTATTTGAAATTATATTATTATTTGTTGTATTGAAGTTATAGTAAATTATTTATGAAATTATCATATGGGGTAGACAGTGCTTTTTTTTTAATGAGAGGATGACAGGGAGGATATTTATAGGATGGTGACCCAATATTGGATGATGAGTGGCCCTGGTTTGCACACGTGAACTCAAGATTCTGGAGAATAAAGAATTTGGACAAAACCTCTGCTTTTTTCCTTTTCTGTGCCTCTCTGTGGTGTTACAGCACAGACAGAATGCCTCCCTGAGCCTCTCTGCAGCCTCTCTGTGACATGTGAAGATGGGAAATGGTTTGAGGCAAACCCATAAAGTTTCCATCCTGCAGACCCGTGAATATCCTCTGAGATCACATGCACCCCCCCTTCCCACATCCTCTCCAGAATTAGATGTGTTTGAACCCACATGTGGGACTTTTACATACATGACTCTGCTCTCCACACACTCCAGGCACGTCCCATACCCTCTCCTGCTGCTCCCAGCCCCACACACCCCACCTCAGACTGGTCCCTGGGTGTGCAATGGGGTGGTGGTGGGACATGATGCTGCAAGGGGTAAAACCCTGCCAGTTTTTTTGGGGGGGAAGCAGGGGGAGAAGCTCATATGAGGGAAGCAGAGGGGATGGAGGTGCTGGCAGGTGTCAGGGGGGCTCATGATCTCCTTGTGCCAGGCAATTCCCTGCCCTGCCTGCCAGTGCTGCCAGTTAAGCAGCAGATTCCCAGCACAGGCACCCACCCATGCACTGACAGAGGCCTCCAGTGTCTCCTCAGTGTTCCTCTGACACATCACCCCATCTCTGCCCATCGCCCTGGCAGTGGTGCTGAGCCTGGCACTGCTGCCTGGAGAGGGGCAGGGAACCCCAGCCTTCATTCTGACCACCCCACTGGGGGTTGTTCCTCACTTTCCCACCTGTAAAACAAAGGGAAGGGGTCAGCTGTGCTGCAGGGGTGAAACAACCAGCAGAAAACCCGCTGGAGTTGTTTTCAGGATGCAGCTTTCCATGGGAATGCAAATGGGAAGGAGCAGGTCCCAAGGAGGGAAGCACAGTGCTGGGCACAGCTTGTCCCTTGGGATCATTCAGTGCTCCTCAGCTCCTGCACTCTGAGAAACCCCAGAAGGATTTGGGTTGGAGGGGACCTTAAAGATCATCTTTTTCCACTCCTACACCTTCCACTATCCCAGCTTGCTCCAAGCCCCGTCCAACCTGGCCTTGGACACTTGCAGGGATGGGGCAGCCACGGCTTCTTTGGCAACCTGTGCCAGTGTCTCCCCACCCTCCCAGGGAACAATTTCTTCCTTGTATCCAACCTAAACTGACCTCCTTCAGTTTAAAACCATTCCCCCTTGTCCTCCAGCAACTAAAAAGTTTGTCCCCATCTTTCTTACAATCCCCCTTCAAATGCCCCCACGGCACAGTCCAGAGCTGTCCTTGGCCTGGCCTTCATCCTGTTTTTCTTCCTACAGCAAAAAAATGCTTTTTCTCAGTGTTTATTTTTTTTCCCCCTGCAGCTATAGATCAGATTTGGCAACTCTGAGGTTGGGAAAGCACCTCCACATTGTCTTGTGATTTCTCTTCAGTCCTGTGATTTCCAGGCTGGGAAGCTGCTACAGGCACGAGGGCTCATGGACACGCAAGGAGCAGCATCCCAGGGAAGGGCAGCCCAGCCCAGCACGGGGTTGTGTCCCAGGAGAGGTGAAAATCCACAGGGAGGTGTATCCTGAGTGGGGCTTCCCAGTGAAACATGGGAGCAGAGTGGTCCCTGCATGGGGGGTGGATGGACAGGAGCAGGCAAAGAGCCCGGGATGGGGGTGCTGGGGGTCTCCTCTACCCCTGAGACCTCCCTGACCCCGAGTTTGGTGCTGCAGGAGCCCCAAATAGTCCTGCTAATGGGACTCTGTGTGCTGAGAGGGGATGGAGGATGAATGACTGGGAGAAAGAGAATTCAGGGGGTGTCTGGGGTTTATCCCAGGCCCAGGCAGGAGAGGCTGGAGGACTCTGTGGTGCAGAGCTGGCTCCTCTCCAGACAGTCCCTGGCCCTGTGCCCAGGCACTTGTGGGAATTTCCCTCTCCAGCCTTTCTGGTTTCGGTTTCCAAGCGGTGAACTCAGAGGGCTTTTCCTTCAGTGCCTGCGGTGGCAGAGGCACCAGAAGGTCTGGAGACCCTCATGGTGCCATGGGCAAAGCACTGGGTGTCCTGGTTCTCTCTGGTCTGTTTGAAAGCAGGAACCCCGTGGCTCTCCCCTCTCTCCCAGCTTCACTTGGAGAAGCCCTGGGAAGAGAGAGGAGCCATGGAGACCCTCAGACCCAACATCTGCATTGTCTCCCTGCTGCTCCCTGCTCCGAAATCCATCAGGAACATCCTGACACGGCCTCCCCCTGCTGCTCTTGGGCAGCTGATGGTTTGGACTTGACCTCAGCCTCTCTGATTTCTGTCTTTCTAACCTTCACTGGTCACAGTCCAGCAGCTCCGTGTCCCTCAAGAACCCTTTCTCCTAAACCCACCCATTTATGTGTCCCAACGCTGGTGCTTCCCTGTGGAAAGTGGGGGCTGGATGGAGCAGTGCTGAGCACAAACATGGGCTGTGTGGCTGCCAAGCTCCTGAAGGGAACTTGTCTCTCTACTTCAGTCTTGTTTCTCTCCTTGTTGCTGCCCTCCCTTCCCAATCCTGCTCTGCTCCTGGTGAATCCACCTGGAATCACAGAATAATTTAGATTGGGAAAGACCTCTAGGATAGTTGAGTCCAACCGTTCCCCCAGCTCTGCCAAGGCCACCACTGACCCATGTCCCCAAGTGCCACATCCACAAGTCTGTTAAACCCCTCCAGGGATGGGGACTCCACCACTGCCCTGGGCAGGTGTGCCAGGGCCTGACACCCCTTTTTGTGCAGAACCTCTGTCCTTGGGTTGTTTTTTTCTTTCCTGGAGGAAGAAAGGCTCGTGATGGACCTGCAATGCCTGAGGAACAGGCTGATTCACATCCCCTTGGCAGAAGTTTTGCAGGAAGCACGTGGAGGACTGTTTGTACCCCCCCAGCAGGTGCAGCAGCTCTGTGGGGATGGGCTCCTGCATGGGCAGGAACCCTTTGGCTCTGCCCCATAAATCCTTCTCTGTCTTAGCTCCAAGAGCGGGACTGGCTGGGGTGTTATCTGGGGTTGGCCATGGCTCAGTCCTGATTTCCAGTGGTGAGGAGATGGCTGAGAAGGACCTTCCCACACTGATGATGGGGTGAGCCCTGTGGAGGGAGGATGAGAGGGTGTTCCCAGTGTCCTGTGGAGTGCAGGACCCCAGCACAGGTGAGGAAGAGCTCCCAGCTGAGCTCAGTGTGCAGCAGAGCAGCGCCCAGACAGTGCCTGCCCAGGGGCCACCAACCACAGGCTCCACAGTGGCCACTGGGGTCTGTGGTCTGTGGCCCTTCTCCTTCCTGCTGGAGCCACCAGCAAGTTGAGGCAGAGCCTGGTCTGACCAGGGACCTTCTCTGGTGTCCCAGCACCTCCCCTGGGCTGGCTGTCCCCACCCCAGACAGAGATCACACAAAGGACACTCCCCAGCCCTGGTGCATTCCTTCCCCACCACGAGTTTTCCACCACCAGGAGAACCACCAGGTCTGCCCTGCCCCTGGCTCTGTCTGGGTGAAGGCATCTGTGAATTTTTTGGGGACATGCTGCCATGGCCACCCCTGCCTGGTCCCCCAGTGCTCTGGGAGCTCAGGGCTAGCCCAGGTTCTTCCAAAGGGATTATTTTGGTGTTGTGGGCTGATTTCCTCTTGTTTGTCACATTTCCATGAGCAGCAAAGTGGGACCTGTGGCCCTCATGGGGGGTGCTGACCCCCTCAGCCCCTCTGACCCAGCCTGACCCTGCAAAGGTGGCCTCATGCCTTAATTTCCCCCCTATAATTGAGGGGTAACTGTGCTTAAAAGCTCTCTGTGAAGTGCTCAAACAGCCACGGTGTGAAAACAAACCAACACCAGCACTGGTTGATTATTTTCCTGCTCAGGGAGATGTGGCTGATCCCTTCCCTGCTTCCCTCCACAGCACTGCCAGGCTGTGTCCCAGGGTCCCCTCTGCCACTGAGCTGCTTTGCAGGGATGTAAAATAGAAGTTTGACCCTCTCCCCTCCCTCTGAGCTCCCACCCTGCCCACCCTGCAGGCCTTGGGTCCTGCCAGAAATAGAGACTTTGAGGTTCTTAAAAAGGAACTGCATCAGGAAATGCTGCTTAATTAACAGCAGAGCTGGTGATGAGCAAGGAGAGATCAGGAGACAACCTGAACATCTGCAGACCATCGTGGCACCAACAGGGCTTGGGGTTGTTTTATGGACATTTTATCTCCTGCTGGTTTGCTTGGCCCTAATTGAGAGGGGTCATTTATTGCTGGCAACGAGGAGGGCCTGAGGAAGTGCTCCGGGGTTTGATGGAGTGGAAAAGGGTGGAAAATGTCCTGGGAGGTGAAGACTTGACCTGCACAAGCTGCCAGGTGGGACACTCTTGGCCAAGGGGTGATACAAAAGCTTCTGGGCTTTTGTTTCAGCTGATGGAGATAACCCTGAACAGTCCCCGTGGCCCTGCAGAGCCCCAACACAGGGAGGGGGGACCGGCAGTTTCGTTCTCTACCCACAAAGTTATCAGCCAGTTTTAAATGGCAACCACAGGCTGATAAAGTGCCTTTGTTGGTTTTACTTGGTGCAAAACGTCTCTTGTGCTTTTTTAAACCGAATTCAGGCTTCCTACCCCAAGAAGCTGCAGAACAAAAGGGAATTGGTGCCTGTCTTGAAATGAAACCCTAATGGAGCATCATCCCCAGAGCTGAGCCTGGCTCAGGCTGCATTCCCAGAGGAGCCTGTGCTGGGGGTGTGGTCCTGGCTGGAAAGCAGTGGGAAAGCCCCACCAGCTCCCAGCCTTGGCTACAATATGGTGGAAAGGAAAGGGGAAGGGCTGGGGGAAAGTTCTGTCTCCACATCAGAGCAGGGGCTGGGAAGGGACAGTGCTGGGAGGTGCTGGCATGGTGCTGCT